TTATTTTAATTAGTAATTAATATTCTGAATTATGCTAATTTACTCTAATGAGAAAAATGTTTATGTATCAAGAGAATTAAAGTTCATTAGTATTAATCAAATCACACCCAGGACTGGTCTTTGAGATGGGCTTCTGCGATTGGGCTAAACCTCATGTCAATCATATAAAGACAACCCTTAAGAACTGCGTCATGTTGGGGGGTGTGGTTTTTTTTATTGACATGTCTTTCAACCAATCAGAATAGAGAAAATGGGTATTTATCCAATCAGAATGAGGCATGGGTGGGACAGGGGCGTGGTGCTTCAAACATGACCAATCAGATGAGAGCAAAAATCTTGGAGGTGGGCTCAAATCTAAACATTTTGATTGGTTGAGGTGGCATAATCAGTTGGTGATGCCCTCATGAATAATGCGACACTCCCCTACTTAATCATACGACACGCCCCTTCATTGACCACACCCCTTATGAATATTCATTGTCGGCATTGCTTGTTCCTCGTTTTGTTTGGTTTTGTTTGTGTTAGAAGTAATGTTAGGAAAAAAAGAAGAAAGGAAGACATAAATCAAAAATCTTTATTAAGTTTTGCAAGCATACAAATCAAAGACAGTTGGCAACAATGAAACAAAAACACAGTGAGTTACAGAATCACAAGGAACGGCGCCCGGGATGACGATTTCCTGTCCAGCGCTAGCAGTCTGGTCAGTGCGGGATGGGTCCTGTGCGGGCGGCAGGGACAGCAGCCAGGGGAGACCTGAAACACAAGACAAGCAGGTAAGAGCTCGGCGTTCAGCCCTGAGCAGCAGCGCAGCGACAGTCATCAGACAGGAGTGAGGAGCTGCGCTGGCGGAGGGGCTCAGGGAATCACTCGGCCGTACAGCGCAGCTCGCTTTGCGCAACACGGGCTCGTCCCACTGTCGGGAAAACGAATTTCTAATTTAAAAAAAAGGTTCAAGATGAATAAAAAGGGCTCAAGACCTCCAGACCGTGTCCTTACTGTCACGAGAAATACTCGCCCGCTTTAATTCGATTCAGATGTAGGACCCATATGAAGTTTTAATTTCAACGTTCAATCACTACACAGGCGTCAGGCAGTTGACCAAGACGCGGTTTGTTCACATCGCGCTGCAGCGCCGACAGAGACGCGGTCCGTTTGTCTGAGCTGGGTTGTGCTTTTTAAACTCTCTCACCCGTATGTTGCTTTTATATTTTAACTCGTTATAGGTTCATCTTGGCTTTTTAAAAAGACCTTGGCGCTCTAAGGAATCTGTATG